ATTGAGATGCCAACAATGTTTCACAGCCGGTTTGCGCCTCATAAAATCAATGTGACTGAAGAGGCTGTTAACACTTAAAGGAAACGCAGACGTGAGGCCTGAAGTGCCGCATTACAGATTTCATTCCCCACCTTGGGAGGTGTGATACCGCTTATCAAAATCAAATTTTCCTCAAAAATGAATGGAAGGTGGTGGGAAAGGAAAGGAATCTAATCATTCAAACAACACCGTGTCAGTAATGAAACTACAGGCAAAGGAGGTTAAATAATAGAAAAAATGGACATTAGGACTGTTTTTCACAATCCACCGGCTGTAATTAGTGGGTTCAAATGATGCGATTATCAAAACAGTCAGCCACACATGCTCCTGGAAACAAACATGCCCGGCCCGATCACTTACAGTGACGTGAGGTAATGACAAAAAGCTGTTAGCTGAAATGCAAGCCTGACAGGAATCGTGATCGTGGCCGGATTCACGTGGTGTTTCTGTTACCAAGTTGGTGCACGGTGGAAATTTACAAGAAAGGTGGGTGTGTTTGGGGGGAGGGAGGGAGGAGGCATGCAGCAAAAGGTCATACCACGGAATCAAACTCATAAAATCACAAACACATGGCATGCATCCCAACCTCCTGATCCATGAGGGCAACTCAAGTTTTCAGGATAGCACAGGGGGACTCGGGGGTATTAAACTTTAACATAAATTATTAAAAAGAAAAAGAAAGAGAGATAGAGAGAGAGAGAGAGAAAAACAGAACATAAATTATTCAAAGTAAAATTTGAGCTATCTTAGCGTATGAGTGACGCAGCCCCCCCGGTAGTTTGCTGTGAGTTCAACCATCTCTATTCCCAGATACGTGTGCGCTTGAAACGTGGAGCTTTGAGATTCGACATGTGAACGAGATCAAGAACACGGAGCACATTCTCAGAGGATTCACCGTGGAATAGAAGGGGTTAAACATGTACATTCTTGTTTGATACATTTATAATGGAGCTGCTTACATTATTTAAAAAAAACAAAAAAACAAAAAAACCTCAACAGATGCAACAACATAGTAACAATATACAGACACTGCTAGTATATTAAAAATTCTGCCCTTCTCGTCCTGTCTTAGCAAAGCTTGCATCGCACGACCGAACAATCGCAGTGACTTTAACCCTTTCAGCAGCAAACTTCAGCAAGAGTAGGCTGTTGTAAACAATACATGCTTGTATTATCATCTTTTTTTTTTAAATAGTTGACGTAAACTTTGTTTGTGTTTTTTTGTTTTTTTTAATTTCGGCCCTTTTGACATGCAGCAGGTACATTTTCATTCCCCGTCACAAGCTGAAATTCTGAGTTTTCTGTAAACAATAAGCCGCACACACTACAGAGCTGCCTAATCCTGTGGTATTGTAGTCGGATGAGTGATTTTTTTCACCAACCGGGTCATCCACTGAACTTCATTTCTGCCAATGATTACAGCCACTTCCTCCTCTGCTTCGCCACGCGGTGAAGTGCGGCGGTGATTTGCTGTGCGCGGCGATGGTGGATGTTTCCACCTCTGTGCTGAAATGATCCACACATCCTCAGGAGTTCTTAACCGTCTTGACTAATCACAGAAACGCGATTCTGCCTCAGTTTTTGACCCGGTGGGACCCTGCAGACACCCTGCGCGCCCTTTAGAAAGAAAATTCATCTTGTTCTGGAAGTTTGAACCAATGATCTTTCAAGTGTTCCCTCTTAAGAAGCCACTTTTGACAACAGAGGGACTTCTCGCTGATTGAAAACAGCGCACCATGATTCATCTGCTAATTGTATGTCTATAAAAATGCATACTAGGTTAGCTATCTGATGCCTAAGAAGCCAGCTACCCTGAACAGATGAAAAAATGGACCAAACACCACAAAACTAGGCGGCTCTGTAGATTCGAGGCTGCACTGAAAAATCAGTGAGTAATCCAAGTAGGTGGTGCTCTGACGCCTTGCATTGTCTCATATTGATCACACAGGAAGTCTGTGTTTGTAATGTCGTGAAATCTTGCAGTAAGTGAGCAGAAGATCATTTTTTTTGTGTTGGTTTGTTTAGCTCCTGCCGGCTGATGTTTACTCAACCTGCCAGCTTACAGATGAGCATCAAATCTAAGTTCTCAGATCTTATGGCTACTTTAACTTCGACGCTGCCCATCAAGGCCCGAGTACACTTCAAACAAGGAGCTTGTCGTATTGGTTTCATGATGTGGCTTTAAGTGGTTATTGTGTCACTATGGAGCCTATGTGGTAGCCATAGCAACCCTGTATTTGATGTGTGCCTCCACGGAAACCACAGGTCAGTCAATCATATCTCACAAAGCCAAACCCCGTCCGCATGACATGATCATTGCTAGCTATCACAGTGAATTAAAGGATGTAAACACAGTCTCCTGTTCAGCTATCTATCTTTGCCCTAAAGAAGGAAGAGTAGGGAACATAATTAAAGCATGGCAGGGCCTTATATCATACAATACATCTGTCTGAAGTGGTATCCACAGGTGAAATCTAGCTGGACGCTGTAACTCAAAGCCTCAGACATAGGTTTTGGGTCTTCTAAAAGTGTAGGTCTAGTTAAAACCAGCTTTACAGCATCTGAAATTTCCTCACGAAAGCCTGTGCGACACCTTCAGTGACTTTTTGAATCTGACCAGATGTGCAGAGGTAAAAAAAGTAAAGCTTTAACTAAGAATTTTTCTTGAACTCTACAATACGTCTTTTTTCGTGTGTGCGCACCACCATAAATGCCTCGAGGAAGAGATCAGGCTTGTTCTGAGATGAGCTTCGGCTCCTTGTCTGGAAGGCGGACGAGAGCAGGCGGCGGCAGCAGCAGGGGGCAAAGACGAAAAGCTGCAGGAAAGTCGGACGGTTTCCAGCAGCCTTCAATCTGTACAGAAAGTTTCAGAAAAACCCTCATGTCCTGTTAGATCTGACTCAGATCTGATAAAACACAGGCGATCTGTGATCTCTGTTCATGGTGACACCTGCATTTTAAATTAATTTACATGTAAATCAGAGCAGTTTGTATATAAAAGTCCTTTTTAAACCTTAAGGGAAGTAGTATGTCCCAGTTGTATGCATACTGCATGAAAAAGTGTGTACTTTATGAGGGATTTGGAATGCAGCCCACTTGTTGGCCAACTGCTAATAAACTCTGAAGAAGAGGTAAACAAAACAAAGTCTTCAGGAATTGTTGTCAATCGGTAAAGTTATAATTATTCTTTCAGTCAGTGTTGGTCATGCAAAATGCTGTCCAGAGACAAAGACAAGACTCAGCGGTCATGCTAATGCTAAATATGCATAACGTTAGAACTTATTTGAAAAAGGCGTTTCCATCTTCTAACACATGCATTCACTCTTTTTTAAAAACATCGAAAACAACCTTGAATGAGTGTGAAAAGATTTTTTCAAATTCTGTCGTGTTCATTAACCTTTTTCAATGTTTAAACTTCAAAATGCACATAAAAATACATTGTAGAAACATGGCTACTGCCTTTCAGTACTAGAAGAAAGGAAAATTCCAGTTTAGTGAGTTGTTGACCCATCCATCTGCCTCAGCCACCTCCTCAAAAAAGACTTGGAAAAGTCCTGTTATTACATAAACGCCTGATCGCAAGTATTTGACCTGGTCATGATCATTTCGCATAATCATTAGACTCGATTCCGTTGTCTTGTATCGAAGCAACAGAAGTGGCACATTTCAATCCTTATTTCTTTGTCATTTTCATGTTTGCACCCTCATGTTTTGCTGTGGTTGAATATCACCAACTGCTTATCTCGAGGTAATAACTTCTGACGAGCATCTCAACAACCATTTATTAATATTATTGTCATTAATTTAGTTGCAAAGTTAAGCACCAAATGAAAAAGGAGAGCCAAATAACTTGGATTTTCAGCAAAAAGGTGGTGTCAAAGATGGTAATACCACTAATTTAAAAGTAATAAAGATATCAAATCAATAGTAATGTCAACTAAAACTTCATGAACTTGACCTCCAGACCATGAGGCCACTTGAACATACGCCAACATACGTATCTGAAACAACTAACAAAGCTGTTGTTCTTGGTCTCTAAATCAGTAGCATGGTACAACCCAGTCTGTTTGAAGCATACTGAGGCCTTGACGTACACAGCATCTTAAGGACGGTTCTCCTTAAACCACATTTGGCCCAATGACTCAAACTAAAGGATAAATGCTCCAGATCTGTAAAACAAACTTCTCGCTGTTGGTGTGGTTGTGTGGGACTTGCATAAAGGGTGAATGACAACTGGGCCTCCACTCCCTATCAGCTTTACAATCATATTAAAGTGCACCATATTCAAATGTGTGGCTAGTTTCTGTGTTCAGCTGCTCCCCTACAATACTAAATAATACCATCGAACTGGCTGAATGTGGGAGGTTTATCTGAAAAGATGAGAACTATTCCACTTGGTTTTTCTGTACAGTATGAAATATTTGCTACATCCTTTGTTAGTTTCTCCATTATTTTACCTCCTACAGTTCTGCTCTACTTCTTCGCCACCGAGATGACAATGTGAGGGCTTCTTTTTTGTGCTGTTTTCGGGGATTGGTGAAAATTACTTAGCTGCTGTAAAAGATCCCATCAAAGATAGGATTTGCTCTTTTTATCTTCACCAGAAAGCTTGAAAATCAACACGACAATCCCCGTCATTCATGTTATTGACTTAATTTCTCCGAAAAGAAAATAACCTTGCAGCTGTGCAATCCCTATTTTATACTTGAGTGTGGTGTTGAGCACAAACATAAGATTTGGATATTTTTTGTCAAGCCCTGTTGAAAGGGAAATGTATTCCCAATGAAGAATTGTCACAGGTGGCTGTGGCCGACATGAGGAAAATCCGGAGGAGAAGAAGAAGAAGAAGAAGAAGAGGCGCTGGAAGGACGAGTTTGGAAAAAGAAGGCAGGAGTCCAGTGTGGTGCAGCCGAGGAGCGTCAGGGTGCCAACAGGTCGGAGGACAGGACTTCAGAGGGTCTTCAGTCATTTAATGAGCCGGGTAATTCATTGGTCAACGTGTGCCAGCGCTCAATTTTTTTGTCTTTATTTTTGAGGCAGTCAAACCAGTGTTTGAGCCTCTCTCCGTTTGCATTGATACCCAGAGACACACCACCTAGAAGGAGGCACAAAGGCAGCGTGAGTCACATGCTGAGTCGTGTGTAGGAGACTCACAATGTATCACATTAGGAAATCATTACAATCTCTTAGCAACAGCACAAAGACCCGAACACTGGTGTGACATTAAAGATGTTATTCCTTTTTAAAAGGGGGTTTATTAATGGCAAATGGATTAATTAACCCTCTCTGAACCCGAAAACCAGCTAGCAGATTTAAAAGGCATGGTATCTCTTAAAGAAAACGCCAAAATGATGCCATTTATCAGAGCCAGAAACTGCACAAATAGATAATTGGACTGTTAACTTTCTAATAGTCCTTGACCTACTCAACTGTGATGCATTGCTGAAAAGACAAGACAAAAACCTTATTCATCACGAAGAAAATTCTTTCATCACAATCACTTCGTTGTATATTAAAACTTTTTGCTCAAACTGGATTGTTTCAAAAATTGAAAAGTCTGCTGTCACCAACAGTCACTGACAAAAACAGATTTTCATGCTGTTTCATGGAAAACTTACCAAATCTCAACTTAAAATCAGGATATTTCATCAAAATGACTTTATTGTATATGTCTCATTGAAAAATCTACTTAAAATGAACCATTTGCACCAACCAGAAAAGTTCTGAGTGAACATTAAGCCATTAGTAACTTCAATTCAAGCAGTTCTCTGCTGAACTGCAGGCTGTGTTTGCACGGAACAAATATGAGGCAAACATGTAAGCAAATTAAAAAGGTAAGTAGTAAAATTTAGATGGTATGTAGAGTCACCATTTTTCCCCAGGTACAGTCGTGACTTGATGATCTGACACTAAATGTAAAACATTCTTTTACGTTGGATTGCAAGGCTGTCAGATTGTCAAGACGGAGGCCAAGATACAAGGAGTGCTTCATGCTTGAAGGGTAATTTGTTGTTAATATTTATTGTCTTTAGTTGTTATAATAACTAGTGTACTGTTAGAACAGTACGCATCGCCGGATTTCATGCCTAATTGACCACTGCGCTTGTGCAGGGGCCCGTCGGTTGACTTCAAAGGTAAGCGGTCCTAAATCCAATAGGTATCCCATCTTTTGCCATGCGACTTCTGTCTGAACGGCCAGGGCGCACTTATCCGACTACAAGTCATTGATACACGACAAACTAGGGCTGGTCCAAATAGCACTTTCTGGTCTATTGACATTCAGGCCTATTTAATGATGAATATCAGAATATTCGGCGTAGTCACGGGGACCCGCTCCGACGGGATGGAAGTGGCCGGAACACACAGGCAGTACTTGGCTGCTGATACCAGTTTAGTTAGCGGTCATGGTTCTGTTTCCACCATCGGTGGCAGCGGCGGTGGGGGAGTGGCAGGTATGCTCCACCGCTACCATCCATGTTTACTTCCGCAAACACTGAGCACGCTCGCTGCATGTGATGTCATCGTGTCCTCTTCTGCGCATGCGGGACACTTCTGGGTTGTATGAAGTTCACACAGGAGATCACATACAGGTCGCATTTAATTAGAAATGTGAACGAACTTGCAAAAAATTGGATTTCACAAAAAAATCTTAATTGAGCATTAAATTCTGCAGTCTGAACGTAGCCAATCTGTCGTATTGTTAAGTCAGATAATAGGCTGTTATCCTTATTCGTGACATAAAATATCCTGTTGGAGTCAGAATCCAGGCTATTTTTTATGGGTTCTGTTTGTTTTTCTTAAAAACCTGTCGGATAGCAAGGTTTTCAGATTGTTAAAGGTCGAATTATCGAGTCACGACTGTATTATTAAAACCTGTGGATGTTTGGAAAAATGTCGTCAAGTTGATTCCAGATTTTTTCAGTTTTTGCGAGCAGCCACATTTTCAGTGAAAGCTCTAAAACAGAGATTATTTAGTCAGTTACTGTTTCTTATCATTTACTGTTTCCTAGAAAACATTTTTTTACTCTTTGATCAGTCATTAAGACAACAGTTAATAACATTAGTATTCATATATGCTAAATGGTCTGTTTTGTAATAAACCATCCATTATGTGAGAGGAGAATAAACACCAATCAAAGGAATTTTCTCAAAAATGTATTAATGTGATGCATGATTTACTTATAACTTAGAACTACATAATAAAATATGACACTTTGAACCTCCACAGAGCACATTTAATTCAGTTATAACTGTAGATGAAGCTCTTTGAAGCAGGTCTGAGCGTCATGAGAATACGACAGCGGGGCAGCCAGCCCTCTGTGTCACTCAGAGCTTGTTTGTTTGGTAGCCTCCAGGCTTGGAGAGGGCCGGGCAGATGGCAGCTTCAGCTGGACAGAAGACCAGTTGTGCTGCTGAATATCTGTCAAGCTATTTCCCCTGTTCATCATCTGTGATGGGGGCTGAGCTGGTGGCCAACCTGTGCTTACCTATGAAATCGTTCGACTTCCCGATGTCGTAGTCCCACACGGTCACCTCCAAGGTCTTTTTGGTGAGGTCTGCGTATTTTATGTCATAACAGAACTCCTACAGGAAGTAAAACAGGAGAAAATAAGAGCTTCAGAGGTTTCTCTTTCACAAATACTATCACATATAATTACATCTTTTCAGATGACCACCAGTTGAAAGTCTTGAACTTCTTGAATAGGAGTCACTTCTGCTTCACCACCTTCACAACAAAACACTCCTTTGCATGGTTTTGGTTTTGCATAATTATCATTACAATTCTGAATGCAGCTGACATTTTTTTCATTCATTCCCGCTGAAATTGATTCACATAATTCGGAGCGCCTCATTGAGTTTTAATTTTATGTAAGAGCCCAAAACAATACAGTAGCTATCTGCTCTCACTCTCTGGTAATCATTCAACGCACACTCCATCTCATTTTTATTAGTTCAGGACACCTCCAGTAAAGTAGAAGTGTAAAAAGTGAACGCAGAGGAGACGCTGCTATAATACAATGACAGCGTAATCAATAAAGTACACGGCCCACTAAATGAAACAAGCAGTTTTTTGTGATATCAATTTGCACCGTGTGGAGCATTTATTCTGCATTTCAATCTGTGGTTCAATCAAGGTTGCTGCTCCACCTTAATGGAATCGATGCCCTGACATGCAGGAGGCCCCTATTGCTCTTCTCTGACAGAAAGGCCAAGAGGTGATGGAGGAATATGGGCGCAAAAAATGTCAGAGGAAATGTCAAGCCGCTGGCCTGCGTGAGTGTTTGGCTGGCGATGTCCGCTCGTATACAGGCGGATACGTCCGAGCCAAGCTGCCCTGTGCCACGACGGCCTGCTCAGCCTCGAAAACATGTTTGGCATCCTCCTGCAGAACATGGCCAGGTCCTCAGAGACCTCAGAGAGGCAATGCATTTCTGAATTCAGCAGAATTTACAATCAATAATGCTGGTTACAGAGGAGGTGTTGGAGCTGTGAGACTGAGCAGCTCTGGCTCAGTTTGGAGGAAAATAAAGGCCAATTACTGAATTTATCAAAGCAATGCTGCAGCACAGGAGCACTCATAACACTCATAACACTCAGGATATGTTAGGCTTCCTATTTTAGAGAAAAATTATTAGATTTGTTGGCCACTTGGACCACAAATACCTGGTCTGATTATAAACAGCTGCCTTTTTCATTGGAGTCTTGTGTCTTCCAAGATTTCTTTTAACTCTGTTTTGTTGTCCACCAACTTCTGAGAGAAATATTTGGCTCCTTATCAACTAAATGTTTTTAACTGTACCCACCCACACGGACCTGAAGGGTGTTTTATTAAACTATATTAGTAAATCCAGAGTTTTCAGTGTCACTAAAACTGCCTTTTCTAACCTGTTAGATCATCATGGTAACTGATGCTGCATATCTAATCTGCTCTTGAGGATGTTCTGTTCAGAAATCGGGGTTTAAATCTGCTGCAAGAAGCGTCTCCCTTTCACCAGTTCATTTCTTGATCATTTTCTCTATGAGCGATCAGATTCTCACCTGAGGGAATGTACGATATCTGCAAACCTGCCGATCTCTACGTTAGGAATCCTAATGAATGAAGTTATGGCAGGTAAACTTTGTGCATCGTGTTGCCACAGCAACCTACATGCGTTCAGTAAATGATGCAGAAAATGCATAAATATTTTATGTTTGGTTCTGACTTGTTTCTAAGTCTGTTTTGCACTGCTGGTACTGCAGCTGATAGAACACAGATTTAAAAATTGATTAGTTTATTGACATTTACCACAGAGAATATTCAATCAATAACATTAATTGTACTTTGATATAAACAATTTTCCACATGTTCTTCATTATGAGACAATGTTGGACTTCAATGCACTTGTTGAGAATCATGTTTAAAGAGTTTAGGAGTTCTAATGTGCAGCTGTCACGTTAGAAGTAAGTGGCCGCACTGAGTGCACCTAAATGGTAAAATAAATATATTAACTTACATGATGTGCTGGTATTAAATGGTGTGTAGCCACTACGAGCAACATGTTGACATTAATCATTTTGTCCCCAATGGTAGCTTTAAAAAAGCTACCATTGGGGTAGCTTGTCTTCTAAACTCAAAGTTAACTCGCTGAACCTCAAAACACACTAGCAGGTTTGAAAAGCTTGTTGTTTTTATACAATATTACAGAAAGTGAGCTTAACAGAAAGAACTTTACAGCAATCCTTAAAATACTTCACTGTCATATGTAGGCCTTAAAGAGCTAAATCTCCTGTTAAAATCGGATTTTTCATCAAAATCACTTTGATCTACACGACTCTTGCACGACTTTGCAAAAAATAAAAATCACTTGCTCTAACTAGATTTTGTAAAAGACAACTGTGCAACTGTGATGCCATCAGTGACTCCGCTGTGACCAACAGTCATTAGAAAAAAATTCAGGCACAATTCAGCTGACCTGCAGGCTGTGTTTACCCTTTTTTTTTTTTAGTCATTGCATTATAACTTTGTCATACTGCACAAAAGACATGTTTGACTTCCCTCTACTTGTAGCCATGATTTTGTCGTTTCCATAGACGTGCAGGACTTTACATTGTACTATAGATTGGGTTAAAATATTCATAGCTTAAAGCAACAATTCAATTTAGTATTGACACAAAAACTGTTTAACAGACAGAAACTCAGCCTATCTGAGTGTTTATGTTACAATCAAGCTTACATTTTGATTCCAATATTACATTACCTGTTACCAACCGAGCTGTGCCCATTTTAGCCCAGAGAGAAGTACAGGGACAAAACCAGAAACATCTCAGGCGAAAAAAAAAATAAAAATCACAAAAGAAAATCTTGTCTTCATGTAGAACCTCATAGAGCAAAGCTGACAGAGAATACATATCTGGTGCCTTTAAAGAAATGATGAATATAACAGTGGATGACTACAAGTTTCGTTGTGACACATTCTTTCAAAGCTGTTTCATCAACATGTCACAGTCATAATCTTTGGTGGGACACATCAAAGATTTCCAGCAAAGAGAGGAAATGAAATGAGGTTCAGCGCTGCCAAAATACACCTGAGCTACTGTGCGTCTTCAGTGACAAACACCTGGCTGAGCAGGACTTTTGTGGCATATTCTACCTCCGTCTAGAGACAGATTTGGAAAAGTCATCTTGTGATGAATTAAGAAAAGCTTGCTCCTTCTCAACCTCTGCAGGTTTTTGGGTTTTGCAGGTCATTCAGCACATAAGACCACCGGAAAAACACTCAGCACGGGTAAAAAAGAAAAGAAAAATAGGAATAAAGCTGCAAGGTTTTACTGCCGGTTTATACCTCATTGAACTCGGGATTGAGCGTCTTCTTCTTCACAGCAGTCTTGTGCTTTGACTTTTTGTTCTCGTCAGGCTTCAGGTACCTGTGGGAGACGGGCAGAGCAGGGAGGAAGACTTAATAGTGCCAGCCTCAGAGCTTTCCCTGTCACCTATTTTTGAGGATGAAACAGCAAAAACGAAAATGCTACACATCCCTGTAGATCAAGGTGTTATTCCAAACTCCTTATCAGTAACATAAAGCCTTGCAAAACAACATAAAGGCACCAGTCAGTGTATTTGTCAGCTGCTATACTGTTCTGTCCTCCAGGGGGTGCTCTGGTACTGCCCTACATTTAGGCGCACAGCTGCATTACTTTACATTACACACACTAAATTAGTACTTTATCTGACTTTAATAGACTCCAGCTTTTATTAGAGGACATTTTTTTCCGATTGGTAATACATAGACGCTGCTGTGTCACCCTCTCTCACAGCGCTCCTTCTCTATCAACACCGATGTCCGACGCACGCTTGGTTTAACAATGAGAGTTTTTCGGGTTTAGTCTCTTTTTTTGATGAGATTACGGTGCTGAAGACACCTCAAGTCATAACAGTAAGACGTTTCCAAAGTCAGTGGATCCTCCTGCTGCATCACTGCACTGCAGGCCTCCAGCATGCATTTTATTTAAACCCTTAATCTCAATTTGTCAGCACGAGCTTGCATTTGGGATTATAATTTTGTACTCTAAAAGGCGAATCCTGCATGTTTAGGCAGATGGCTACTACTTCCTATTGCTGTCTTTCTTTTTAGGAGCATTTGGGTCATAGTGCATGACACTCAGGTGCCACTTTATTAGGTACACTTTGCAAAAACTAATGCAACACTCATCCAATAAATCCTACTTTCACCAAAGTTGTGTTGATTGAAACGGGATACGCAAAGAATTGGAAACATCTCTTGATTAAAATGCACTTTATTTAAATAGTACAGCTAATTGAATCACCAGCTCTCTGAAAAAGTCTCTACAAAAACAGAACATTACACAATTTTACAAGTTATGATTCATTGTGCTGCTGTATTAAACTTTATTTGCTTTAATTAGGTGTCCCTTGCAAACTGAGGCTATACTGTGAAGCCTTCAGTATTAATGAAACCTGACTTCAAGCTCATTTTCTGTCAACATTGAATTTAATTTTATATGTTACCTGAGTTTGCCACAAAGGCAATTTTTTCGAATGGCAGTCACAGCTTCCAAATTTAATAGTTCAAGCAAAAATATGCATAATAGTTAAACTAATCTACATTCTTTCAAAAAAGAAGCAAAAATCTAGGTTAAAAAGCTTAAACATTACATAAAATACACCTCTGAACCCCAAAAGACACTGGTGGATTTGAAAGGTACGCTGTCTTTAAAATATTGTCAAAATGACTCAATTAGTCAGAACCGGAAACTGTAAAAACTAAAGAATTGTTGGATTTATCACTTTTCGGCTATCCCTGAGATACTCATCTGTAAAGTCCCCTTCCAGCTGGAAAACTAATCAGGTCTAAGCTGATATTTCACCAAAATCTCAAAAAAAAAAAAATTAACCTCTGTGCTAGCTGGATTCTGTTAAAAAGTACACTTTCTGTGCTTTTTGGTGCAAATGTGAATCCATTAGTAGCTCAGCTGGAACCAACAGTCTCATGACAACAACTGTAATTTCTGGACTATAAGCTGTACGATTTTTACGAATTTGCCACGAAGCAAAAATGACATTGAGAGTGACAAAGGAAGAGACACTGAGGAAGTGTGTGACAAAGTAATTCTGAGGCTGTTCAATTCTGACACTGAAGAAGACGACTTTAGTGGTTTTAGTGTGCAGGAGGAGGATGAAGATAGCAATCAATGACTTTTCCTGGTACTTGACTGTATTTTTTGTTTTTTAACCAGCTGTGTTACAGGCACTGTTCGGAAATAAAAAATTTACAGTATGTATTTGTGTATGTTGTCGGTATGTATCTAATTAAAAGTTTAAAAAATCCCTCTGTGTAACATCTTTCTGTGTAAAGATCTCATGTTACAACGTGGACACCTGCGGCTTATAGACAAGTGCGGCCTATATATGTACAATTTTTTCTTTCTTTTTAAAATGAGTGGGTGGGGCTTACATTCAGGTGCACTCACTAGTCCAAAAAATTACGGTATTCTGGGATGTTTTTGGCTGAACTGCAGGCAGTATTTACACATAGCAGAGAGGAGACAAGTATGGAAACAAAAAACACATCCCCCCCAAATATTAGCAACACCTGTAAGCACTTGGAAAAAAAATGTAGTTTATTTTTGCAGATTTGTGGCATAACTGTGTCATACTGCAGAGAAGACATTTCAAAGTTCCCTCTACATGTAGTCATGGTTGTGCTGTTTCTGGACTTTATACTGCAGTAAAAAATGAGCCTACAGTGAGTCAAAACCTGACAGGAGCAATAAACACCTCGAAACTGGTGGAGGTTCACAGCATAACACACTCAAAGACAGATTTAATATGAGTCTAATCTTGTTGAAGGTGAAATAAGAGAACATCAGTGTCAATATTGTCAGTTCTCATTAAGTCATTTCTTCAAAATATGCTAAAATAAATATCACGCTGGGGAAATGATCATAGTATTTTATTCTCTGAAGGAAAAGACGGCTGGAATAAATGCAGTTTTAAACCATGTATAATCTTCTAAACTAAACAAACATCTTTTCGCAACCGAGCAGATCTTAATTCAATTTTAATTTGCTTGCAACATTGCGGCTACTTGTCATTTTCAGTTTGCGTTCCCTGCAGTCAGTGAGTCAGTGGTGAAAACAGATTCTTAGTGCCACTGTTGCTCTGGGAGTCATGCATACAGTGTGTGTTCATGAACGTGCAGCCAGTGTGTGTCTGTGTGATGTGAAGGTTAGACCTTTGTTTCTGTTCCGCCTTCATAAATGATGCAAAAGGCAGCTTGTGGTTATCTCACACCCAACGCGGTGAGTGCTGTTTAGTAGCTCTGTCCGCTTGGCAGTTTTTTGGGCAACAGTTGGATGTGGTATATTTCATTGCAATTACAGTCATCACAACCTCGTCTTGCTCGCTGGACACATGCAGACTTCCATTTCCCAAGGTAGCAGATAGACTTAAAGGGAGGATAAGTGGGTTATTGCTCATGAACTTCCCCTCGGGGGGGAGTGGGAGCTGAAATTGTTGTTGATGAGGACATTGCAGTGAACCTAATTGTTGCTGTGTAATGGGACTACTGACCCGCAGGCGAAACAATCTGAGGGTGAAAGTTAGGCTGCAACGACTGCTACTGAGCAATACTTTAAATGCTATTTCATTGCGTGCATTACTGTGATTTTTGCTGTTTTTATGCTTTTGTTCAGCAGCTGTACAATTAAAACATACTACTCTTTAAGCTAAATGAAACGCACTTTCATCAGAGTGAAGTGCCATTAAGGGGGGCGTTTACGCATTTGTCTTGTCAACTAAAACGTGTCTAAATCCACATAGCACATGCGTTTACCAGCAGCACAATGGAGCAACCCGTTTATTGTTCAGGTGACAGCTGCGACTTGATGCCTCAGATAGACTCTTGCTTGACATCAGCCACTGACAGAGGAGAGAAATGGTTCAGCCCTGTTTATCTGACAGAGTATACATTTCCTTTATCCCCCACCCGCCACTCCGCCTCACGTGAGCCAGTCAGTAAATCTATTATCGGCAACATGTCCTTCAAGCTTCAGGGAGATTTTCTCAACCTCAGACTCTTGGAAAATTGTTGCCAGCCCCTCTCCTCCGAAACGCTTTTGTTCTCGAGGTGTGCACAGCAGAGTCGGAAATTAATTGCGCTTTCATTGCTCAGCCAGATGAAAGACTTGGGAAATGTTCAGGTGTGATAAATAGGACTCTCCTTCAAATTGCAGCCCTGCAGATGGCCTCTTGCGCTGTGTCTTTCATGCCGCTGATAATCACAGGTAGTCTACCTCGTTCCTGCTAAAACATCAGCGCTGCCAGCTAATCCATTTCAGCACTTCCACACGTCGACTAAAAATAGCATTATTGTGAGCATCCAGCGTTTAGAGGATCGACAGGTTGTTTAAATTAATCCATGTTTCTGGATTATGTACGTCCTTGAGTTTACAGGTCTTTGGCTCTTATTATGCACATTCTGATTTTTGGGAGCTTATGGATGGTGATAGTTTGTCTGAAGGCCAATTTGCCAATAAATTTGTTAATATTCACGACACCTGGAGGCTGGTAGTTGATGATGATGTTGGTGAACCTCTGAACCTTCCTCTTCTAAATTCATAAGGTCAGATTTTGTCCTTTAAATGTGTGAAGTTGGTTGTTTATACTGCAAAGTATCCAAAACAAAGCAATTCTCTTCATACGTAGAAGCAGAAACTATTGCATTAACTGCATAAACAACAATCATCTTTTGTGTGAGTCAACACAGACAGAAAACGGTTAAAAATCACCTCATAATAGGGAAATGTTACTTTGCCTTGTTTCCTTTTTGCATTTCTTTTGTGTCATGAGTGTCAAATGTCATTTTTAAAGTTAGTTTCTGTTTCACAAAAACCACTTTCCCCAATTATTTCATGATTCCACTTTTAAGTCTTTTTATGTGACTGCCTGTTGCTCTGGTCTAAATTCACAGGACACAAATGACATAAGTGGATTCCCTGTTGGGATTTTGTTATGAAAGTGTCATTATGAAATAAAGCAAGCACTGGAGAAATGGCATTGTGATCTGCAACAGCAGTCTGTTATTCTGAAAAGAAGCCGGAGAGAAAAAAAAGTTCATTAACTGATTAATCTTTTAAACAAAATATCCTGGGGCTCAGCTTTTCAGTTTTGAGGACTTTGGTCAGTTATTCGACAAACTAAATCCTTTAACAATGTCACGGCTTCGATCCAGTTTTTGACGCCTTTTCTTTCATTTTCATTGGTTTTGTACGGTGGTTGGTTAAAACAGTACGTCGTATTGTGGCATTTTTTGTGTTTTTATCACACCGGTAGTGTTCAGGGGAAATTTGCGCTCGTTTCTAAGGCAACCCTGTCAGCGTCCAGGCGCTGCCTTGCCGGAGACCTGGAAGAGATCCGTCCTACAGGATCTGTAATGTTTTTGTGTGTACAAAAAGCTTTATATATATTTATAATTACGTGTTGCAGGACAAGGATCTCTTCCGGGTCAATGGCAAGGTGGCGTGCCGATGCTAACAGGGTTTCTTAGCAACTAGCGCAAACTTCCCCCGAACACTACCGGTGTAATAAAAACATGAAAAATGCCACAATACGATGTACTGTTTTACACTTTACACTCACTACGATCACAGTACATCTTCTGGTCACCGTTTTCTTGCATGTGTCCTTCTTTTCAGACTACGCTAATGTTGGTCAGTGTGGCTGCACACATCTGTATAGTGATCTCTATAGTTATTAGTGTGGACGGGTTAATGCCTGACTGTCGGAAGAAAAGAACGACAAAAACATCACAGTATATGCGCTGTCTAATAGGAGAAAATTGTGTCCCAGACACGAAAGATCATTCCCGCTGAAATGTATTGGTTTGAAATTCGTGCTGGGCACTTCCGTTGTGGATATGCAGCGTTTCCTTTTTGCAGCGCGTTTCTGTTTATGCAACACATTCATGTATATGCAGCTCGTTTGTGTTTATGCACGCGTTTTGATTGTACCCCACTTCCTGAGATCTGGAATAGAATCTGGCAAGTTGAGAAACACAAGACATCGGATGACCAGACGTGTTGTATGAAACATGTTTGACCAGATTGTCTAAAGCACTCAAGATGCCTTTAATATTCATCCATTCCAAAGTCAGTTTTAGTAATAGCTGTTTACAATAGACACTTTTTTCATCTCCTCTACCAAAAAAATACGCCTGTCTGATTGTATAACTACTTATGTGTCTGTCCTCATCAGATGTTCCTCCAGATCTGAGGGATTAACTTGATGATCTGATGATAAAAGTAAATGATCTTTATCCTTTAAGAGTTATTATATTTTCAGGAGAAAATGTATAAGCCCCTGTTTCTGTGTGGGTGTGTTCTGCATACTGACGTTTTGACGTAGGGGTCGGAGAAGCCGTTGGCGTCCATGGCAGCGAGGTGAGCACAGCGTATGATGCCCACCACCAGGCAAGACTTCTGGGTATTGTACTTCAGAGAAATCATGATGCGTCCACGTTCCTCCAGAGACTTGTCTTCTGTCTTGTTGACCTGCAGGGAAGAAACGATTTAAGAGTCACAATCAGCTTCCCTTGGAAAGACTGTGATATGCAGACATTTATGCCACAGTGGCTGCCAGCCAGGGTTCCCTTCGTGCCCGGGCAATCATCATCACATTACTCCATGTAGACAACAAAATTACGGGGAACTCATAAAATGTTTACAGCAGCTATAACACTTGCCATCTTGACAGTTGTGTGTGTCTTGAAAATCAGCCAAACACTGATTGGCTGATTGATGCCATCTCCGCTGTAGATGATGAATTAATGACCTCATCAACATCAATTTGCCACGTTCTCTGGAGACGAGAAAAGCATCTGAACTGACACATGACCTGAAAACTGTGCCTGTTTTCATTCCAAACACAGCTTGTGCTTTCACTGATAAGTGTAACTTTGTGTCCTGTCAAAAGAATTCAATCAAATATCCTATTGAATGTGATGTTTTTATATTTTAGCTTTTTTTTTTAAAGAGGAGGTTTCAAGAATATAAGAGACACAGTTTCAATATGGATGGAAACACACACATCACTTGTGTGTATGAGTGTGTCAACTGAAACTGCCAGTTTCCCTCACAGGCTGCAGCATTAGTCATGCCGGATAACTTCAGTCCTACTGACTCTCAGTCGCCTTAGTCCATACATGGCACATCCATCCATCCATTATCTATACACCGCTTAATCCTCACTAGGGTCGCGGGGGGCCTATCCCAGCCGACTTAGGGCGAAGGCAGGGGACACCCTGGACAGGTCACCAGTCTCGCAGGGCAACACTTAGAGACAGACAACCAAGCACACTCACATTCACACCTACGGACAATTTAGAACTACCAGTTAACTTCAACATGTTTTTGGACTGTGTGGGAAGAAGCCGGAGAACCCGGAGAGAACCCACACTGCACAGGGAGAACATGCAAACTCCACTCAGAAAGATTCTGGTGCCTCCACCGGTCGAACTGGCGACCTTCTTGCTGCGAGGCAACAGTGCTAACTTGACAAATTCACATACGGCCTCAAAAATAGTAGCAAAGTCAGACCTGTTCTCACCCAGGACAACAAAGAGAAACTAAACAACTCAGTGACCACAGCTTGGTCATTATAATGGGTACATTAGACATGTAGAAACTTGGCCACCAAGAATAGGCAGGTTGTTTTCAATGTGTTCTGCAGGCTTTTGAGACAGAGATCCACTTATCATTGTGTACAACAAGTATTGTAGAATAGGGGTTGACCAATTATCTGCCTGACTGATTATTGGATCCTCTTGGTATAATAAATAAATTCATAAATGTGCTGCTTTGGTTCGCCTGTAGTTACTCTGTGGTACAGCAGTTAGATTTTGCATTATTCTAAACTTTGACACCAAGATTTTCATCTTTACTGCAAATGCGCATCAGTTGTTGGTCACCTTGATTACCAATAATCAATATCGGCTCTGCAAAAAACATTTTGGTCGATAACCACTGTGGAATAAGGGGAGATATTCATCACGAAGCTTGTATGCCATGATACTGTGTGCTCCGGCAAATACATTCCTTACATCTTGGGAGAAAGCAGCAAAATAACTCTTGGCTACAAAACATGTTTATGCAAGAAACAACTTAAACCCCAGGTCCCCTTACTTCTATGTTGAGTCATGACTTTGTGTTGCTGTATGTAGAGTCTTTGAGCATATTTTATGTTGTTTTCTTGTTAAAGTGGCGATTTCAGTGTCACTGTCACCAAACAAGGTAACACAATGGAGCCTTATGAAACAAAATGAGAGCCCTTGTATTTAACTGGATGTTTGTGGCAACATTCCCATGTAAAATCACAATGAGTGACGTGTGTTGAATCACCCAGCAGTTCTGTTTCTAAGCTACTGACTTGCTCTTTAACTCAACTGACTGACAACTGCGTAGGTCTCTGGGAAGTGAGGGCAAAAACACACCAGCAATCACTATTTATTGCCATAGGTGCTGCCCAAAAGGACGAAATGAAGATCTCTGGAGACCAACAGGAGATCGAAGTCAAACCACACAGAAAAGAATTCAACTAGATAATTTTTACATCCTGAGTCCAGTATGTGGTTAAGTCTCGATGACAAAAGATGTTATGGGAGGTAATAATCCGTCCATCCGTCCATCCATCCATCCATCCATCCATCCATCCATCCATCCATAGGTGTTACCAGTGTGTTCTTGGTCGACCCTGGGATTTGCTCCCTGTTGGACATGCACGGAAAACCTCCAAAGGAGTTTCCCAGGAGGCGTCCTAATCAGATGCCTGAACCACCTCAACAGGCTCTTTTCAACATGAAGGAGCTGTGACCACTTTCAGATGTACAAGCGTCTCATGATTTTTTTTACCCTATGGAGGAAACTCACTTTGACCGCTTGTATCAGTGATTTAATTCTTTCAGTCACTTCCAATGGCTAACGACCATAGCTGACGTTTGGTGGATCGACTGGTAAATTGAAAGCTTTGCCTTCCAGCTCAGCTCCTTCTTTACAGTCCAGTACAACACTTGCATCACTGCTGCCAATTCTATCACCTTCCTGGCTCAGAATGGGCCTTTTGTGGGTGACTACACATGATATAAGTGATTCACATATAGTAAGTCAATGATGTGTTACCTTATGTGAAAGAAATCTTAGTTTTCCTGTTATTTTTATTATATCCAGCCATTTGACAAAGAAATATGTCTATTATGCAGGTTTAATGAAACCTCAACAAAGATTACATGAATACATCTTATAATTTTCAGTTCTTATCATTCTGGCACTGTTGACTTTCCTTTGGTATCAGCTAAAACCTCTGTGGAGGATTTCAAAAATTCCTCTATAAAAGAAAAATGCATTGTATGGTAAGGCTATATGATGAATAAATCAAGCTGCCAGTTAGCATTGTACTGGTACATTCAGTATCAGTCATTTTTGAAACGTGTCACACATGTTAATAAACATAATTTCCTCCTTAAACTAATTGGAAATTTAATCTGGGTGACCCAGAACTTAACACTAAAATTATATACAAGTAGAAGATTTTTGTATTTTATTTTATTTTTTTAAGTTTCCACATCTTTATCTTATATCACTAGACTAATTTACAATAAACTGCATGTTGGTAGCTGGACATTCACAACCACACAGAGGCTAAAACCAACCATCTGCTTAATCTGTCGACTGAGTTAGTGGTGAAGTAGACCCCAGCAGTTTCTTGATATTCATCAAAGTCTTAAACCAATGCTGTTTTGTTTTTGACATTCTCTTGGTGCTCTAAAGAACACAAACACTTCAGGCTCTTTGGAGAGAAAAATACATACTTGATTGTATGAAAATGACAGAAATACATTCTAGGACCTTAAAGAGCGATCTGAACTTCACTTTTTCCCCACTGCTATCCCAATGACTTTGGAATGCAATTTACCAGCAGCACTGCCGCTTTTCCTGATTGTGTGAATATTCTGTATTTTCCTATACCTCAGCATTTATTTGTAGCCACATATATGGGATAAGGCCATCCATATCAGCAGAGCAAATGCACAGAGGCTTAACAACTTCAAGCTTATCAAGAGCTACTTTAAAGTGGACAGAGGCGAAGAAATGTGGGCATTAAGACAGAGTTCTTTCAATTTGGTTTGTGCCATTTCAAATTGATATTCATTCGTTTTTGTCTGTCTCATTTGCCCCTTTCATTCATGATAAACTGCCAATTACTTTGCATTGGAGATAAGCTATAAACTAACAGATATAGCTCTTTCTACTTTGTTTCTTAGATCTATTGCACAGTTCAGCCCAAGATAATTTATGTCCATGAAAACTTTGATTCAAAGTGTATATGACAGGAATCAACCTAAACAACTGACAAAAGATGCTAAGACATCAGAGATGCTGATGATAAATGCCCACGGTTATTCATGCTCCTTAAAATTGTATAAGAAAATCCATTTTCTATGCAATTCCAAATGGCCCTGGTAATTTCTACTATGTTCTAGAGAATTCTCAAACATTATAAACTGAGAACAGGTGATGCTGTAAGTTATTAGTCAATTGGAAGTCAAGGCTAAAAACAAAGTGATTCGCATAGATGGTTGCTGCATTGTGGCTTCTCACAAGACATACAGACCATAGAGTCATGTCCAAGTGTTTTCAAGTGCCAGTGGCTACGTTGCAAAGCAAAATCAATAAGTACAAGGAGTTCCACACTGGGAAAAATCTCAAAGGGCAGTGCAAGAAGTCACAAGTAACTCTGCACTGGCGAGAATGGTAAAGGCCAAGACGGATCACCACCAAGACCATCTTGATGAATCTCTGCTATTGTGGCACCAACATCTCAGTCAGACACTCCAGCAGACACTGAACAAGGCCGGTCTCTTTTGAACGAGTACAAAATAGTAACTGAATTGCAACCCATTAAGGCCACATGTTAACCAGCAGTCATTTCAAAGCCATTTACCAAACTGCTGCTCTACACCACTAACCTATTGACTTTATAGGCGCAACGTCATCTGACAAACTCAGTTGGAAGTGATAGAAAGTCCTCATCTTATATACTCTCACATCTGTGTCAGCTGTTGTGAGCTCAGCGGTTTCCGAGTTTCAGAGCCTTCTTCCTGAAGGTGGTGTGTACGGCAGCAGGTCAGCTGTTAAAGCTTCAGACACTGCAACAGCTGCAACAACCAGGAGTTATATAGTCGAACCATATTTGCACTAGGGCTGCAGGGTGGCGCAGTTGGTAGCACTGTTGCCTCGCACCAAGAAGGTTGCCGGTTCGCGTCCTGGTGGGGGCACATCTTTCTGCGTGGAGTTTGCATGTTCTCCCCGTGCAGCGTGGGTTCTCTCCGGGTTCTCCGGCTTCCTCCCACACAGTCCAAAAACATGTTGAGATTAATTGATGATTCTAAATTGTCTGTAGGTGTGAATGTGAGTGTGCTTGGTTGTCTGTCTCTAAGTGTTGCCCTGCGAGGTACTGGCGACCTGTCCAGGGTGTCCCCTGCCTTCACCCTAAGTCA